TGACGGGTTTCGCGCCTTCCTCCGCGCGGACCGACGACGGGGCACGCCCCCGGCGTCGGTGCGGGGGCCGCGCGGCGGGTGCGGGGGCCGGCGGTGCGGGCTTCCCGCGACGACAGGAAAGGAGCGTCTCGACGCTCGCGGCAGTTCTTCAGCGAGCTTTTGTTGACGGAAACGCCAGACGCCGTCAAGGGGATATAAATCTACTATTTATTACCCCTTGACGCCGTTCGCGCGTCTTTACGAGTTCGCCCAGTCGGCCGCGCGCATGCGCGCCCGGCAGACGGGCCCGTTGCCGCAGAGCTGCGGGTGGAGCACCTCGACGATGAGCGCCTCCCGCGTCTCGACGTGGCGCGGGCCGCTGAGGACCGCGTGCTTGAAGCTGTCGTCGAAGGTCATGGCTCGGCCCTCGACGTAGCCCCGGGGCGCGTCCGCGTCGCCGGCCTTGAGGAAGACGCACGCGCGGTCGCCCCGGCCCTCGCCGGCGCCGCAGCCGTCGCGGAGCGTGAGGAGGTGCCGCAGCCGCAGGTTGTCGGTGCCGGCGTGGGGCAGCACCGACGCGCCCGCTTTCAGGCGCCCGAGCTTCGCCCCCACGACCCGCGTGTGCCGCGAGCTTTGTTCGGCTTGTTTTGATTTGTACTCTTTTGATTCTCTTTCCTTGGCATATTTGGCTCTTTGTTCTTCCACAGATTTGATTTTGTGACACATGCAACAAAGTGTTTGGCATTTTAAGTACTCCTTTTCCATAGCATCGGTACCGCCATTTTTTGGCCACGCCCACCAAGAATAGTGGCTCACATTATGGATTTTTAGCTTTGGATCTATATGAGCTTCGCTGGCCGAAGGAAACAACCCCCACTCCGCCAGAACCCCTTCGCTGCTCTACGTAGGATTAGGGAGAGATTAGGAAGGTGCTGTTGAAAAATAGGCAAAAATGCACATTTAGACTAGAGCGGCGCATAACTCAGGCTAGAGCGGCGCTTAGGTCAGAGCGGCGCATAACTCAGGCTAATAAGGCGCTCCTTTATAAGGGAGGAGGGTTAGGGTTGGAATGGCATTTTTTGCCTTGAAAAATAACCAAATGCACATTTAGACTAGAGCGGCGCATAACTCAGGCTAGAGCGGCGCTTAGGTCAGAGCGGCGCATAACTCAGGCTAATAAGGCGCTTAGGCCAGAGCGGCGCATAACTCAGACTAGAGCGGCGCTTAGGCCAGAGCGGCGCATAACTCAGACTAGAGCGGCGCTTAGGCCAGAGCGGCGCATAACTCAGGCTAATAAGGCGCTTAGGCCAGAGCGGCGCATAACTCAGACTAGAGCGGCGCTTAGGCCAGAGCGGCGCATAACTCAGGCTAATAAGGCGCTTAGGCCAGAGCGGCGCATAACTCAGGCTAATAAGGCGCTTAGGCCAGAGCGGGCCGGGCGCATAACTCAGACTAGAGCGGCGCATAGGCTAGAGCGGCGCATAACTCAGACTAGAGAGGCGCTTAGGCCAGAGCGGCGCATAACTCAGACTATAGTGGCA